GAAACTCCGGGGGTGATTCTACGTATTAAAATGTAATGAATTTTTTTTCGAATTGTCAATTGTTTGCAAGTTACCGATTGTCGAATGTTAATTTTTTTAAATTTTTCTATTTAAATAACTTATGTAATTCAAGTTCGATTAGTCTCTCATTTGGTACACCCACTAAGTAGATGAAGGTCTATTGGACCAGTCAGAGAAATGTTTCATTATGCGGCGCTAGAGGGCACTTTACTTAGAACTCAAAATTTGTTTCTATAACTTTTTTCTCTTGTTAGATATCACAGAAATCAAAACATTAGTGAAAAGAGAAACAATATCGGAAAAAAATATACACTATATTCAAGCCGATAAATGTAACCGTTTACCAAAAAAAAAATAATATGTTGAACAAATATGCATTGAATTTATACACTGCATATCTAAGTATAAAACTTAAAGCAACAATGTAAACGAAGAAAGTCGTTTTATAATCATTTCATGGCTTTCCATAAGCAGTCCTAACTTTGAAATTTCAAATAGTACAACCTACATGTTCTCTGTTTTACAATCTCAGGAACCCTTTATATTTCTGCATTTTCATAGTCTTATACAGTCATAGATCGATTTGTTTACATACAGAGTGGTCCAACGAAAGTATGCACCGGGCGTTACATCCTTTTCGTGAAATTGGAAGCAAAAATACTCGGACACGTCGAATTTGGTTTTGAGAGAGACACATTTTAAATATGTCCCGCCCCTTCATCCCCTTAGCTGGGGACAATCACACCCCTAAAATTTAAATTGGCAAGTGGGGTCGAGTCATCATTTCAAAGGGCACACAATTTTCTTTCCAATGATAGCTTATTTGTTGGGTTCTACTTGGTCAGTCACTGCGGAAACGGCTGTAGAAACCTAAACGTTTTATTTTTGGTATTCGTGAAAAAAACACCTACGGATTAGTTGTTAGGAGTTAATACAACCACAATAAATCATTTGTAAATTGCTTTAACCAAAAACGATCAGGGACGAAAGAGGGAAGAAATTAGTCCAACCATTATAGAGAAATGCTTACAGAAATTATTACCTGGACCAAAAAAATATGACCGTATAGAAAATTAAATTTTAAATCGAGTTTCTTGTTCTTTAAACTCGATCCAAAATGGCGAACATGGTTTAAAAAAAACGCAAAGTTGCAAAAAACGGTTTTTTTATAATAACTAAAAAAATATAGCACCGATCGAAAAATTTTAAATGAGAAAGTTGTAGGTTTTTAAAAGATCTACCGACTGATTTTTTGTAAGTATCGATTGCTTTGTTACTTTTAGAGATATATCGAAAAAACCGTTAAAAATCTTCTCTTTTCTCTTCTTCTATAACTCGTTTACGTTTACGTTCCCATACTTGCTAGTTACTGCAAGCTTAGCCCGCGGCAAGTCAAAAAAGTACATTTTTGAAAAATTTAAAAATATTAATTATTTTTCGAGATATATGGATTTATTGAAAAAAAGGCGCTCTCGAAAATAGGCTAGATCTTCTCAGCGGATAACCCTACAGTGACGATTTTTGGTTTATTTTCTTCGTTATCATGCTGTTAAAAAATGTTGACGATTTTATTAATTTTATGCATCAAAAAATGACTGAAAAGGTTGCACTTTTTTTGGGTATGTTTTTTTCAGATAACTATTTCAATTTTTATTATTTTTTTGTACTTAATCTGGGGTAGCTAAACACGAATATTATAGCATTTTCGCCTTAGAAGCAAAATAGACCCGTAAATGTTTAGTTTTCTTTCTTTAAAAGTCATTTTCATAAAATAAAAATTGAAATAGTAATTTGAAAAAAACATACCCAAAAAAGTGCAACTTATTCAAAGTCATTTTTTGATCCTTAAAATTAATAAAATCGTCAACATTTTTTAACAGCATGATAATATAACTCTTTACGAAGAAAATAAACCGAAAATCGTTACTGTAGGGCTATCCGCTGAGAAGATCTAGCCAATTTTCGAGAGCGCCTTTTTTTCAAAAAATCGATATATCTCGAAAAATAATTAATATTTTTAAATTTTTCAAAAATGTACTTTTTTGGCTTGCCGCGGGCTATGCTTGCAGTAAATGGCAAGTATGGGAACGTAAATGTAAACGAGTTATAGAAGAAGAGAAAGGAGAAGATTTTCAACGGGTTTTTCGCTATATCTCGAAAAGTAACAAAGCAATCGATACTTACAAAAAATCAGTCGGTAGATCATTTTAAAACCTACAACTTTCTCATAAATTTTTTGATCGGTGCTATATTTTTTTAGTTATTCTAGAAATAACTTTTTCTGCAACTTTGCGATTTTTTTTAACCATGTTCGCCATTTTGGATCGAGTTTAAAAAACAATAAACTCCATTTAAAATTTAATTTTCTATACGGTCATATTTGTTTGTCCAGGTAATAATTTCTGCAAATTTAACATTGATCCGTGACAGAATGCTTGGACTGTACAATCATAAAATTGGCTAAACTCTATTTCCGAGAGTTTAGTGCCGTTTTATCACTGAGCACCTGCTGCAAGACAATGTGCGCCAATAGGTTTTTCTATGTATATTTGTCACTATTCAAAAACCAGTAGGCAAACTAAACCGACTTTTTTAATAAACAATAATGCATATTCTCATCGTATGCGTTTTTTATTAAGTAGGTACCGTTTGGTGAGTCAGTTTCGTGCGTTTGAAGTGATTTCAATTGGCATGGTTTATTCCTTTCCAGAACGAGTTTAAATTGTCAAACTTTATGTTCAAAGTAATAGTTATGCTAGACTTAAGGCTCGTTTGTTTAATAATGCTCACCGCAATCAAAATGTGAACGATTTGTTTGTTGCCAAATTAATTAAGAAGTTTGTCGATACTGGATCTGTCTGCAATGTGAAACACTAGCCGCAGCGACCAACCAGAAATGAAACTGTGGAAGTTGCCGTTTTGGGACATGGAAGTGGTTTTGGGACATGCAGTGGATCAAACTTAAAGTACTTACCCGACAACCAACTCAAGTCTCGGGTGTCTCGAGTGCGTCCGTAATAAGGATTTTAAAAGTACACAAACTTCACCCATACAAAGTTACATTAGTACAGGAACTTAATGAAGATGATCCTGATAGACGGTTGCAGTTTTGTGATGATGAGCCAGCGTTTAATTGAAGATCCGGACTTACTATTTAACATTTGCTTTTCCGATGATTATTCATTTTCTTTGAATGGTGCATTGAATAGGCATAATTGCATAATAAACGTAATTGTGGTTGTTTTGACTCCTAACAATTTTGTATACATTCTTCGCCCTTTCGCCCCTGATCATAACTGTATTGGCATTTAAATCACAACATTTTTGGTGAAGGTGAAGCAAACTATTGATTGTGGTTGTATTGACTCCTAATAACTAATACGTAGATGTTTTCTTCACGAATGCCAAAACTATAGGGTTTAGGTTTCTACGCCGTTTTCGCAGTATAATAGTCCAAGTAAAATCCAACAAATAGGGTATCATTGGAAAGAAAATTTTGTGCCCTTTGAAATGATGTATTACCCGACCCCACTTTCCATTTGACCTTTTAGGGGTGTGATTGTCCCCAGCTAGGGAGATGAAGGGTCGGGTTGAAAAATGTGCTTAACATGTGTTCCCCTCAAAACCAAAATCGACGTCCGAGCATTTTTTCTTCCAATTTCACAAAAAGATCTAACGCCCGGTGTATACTTTTCGTTGGACCACTCTATATGTATATCTACATTTTCTGTTATTCGTGAAATCCCTATCAATAAATTTAATTATATTGCGGTAATACTGGATACAAAATTCCACTGCTCAATGGTAATATACTTATACTTATTGTGAAAAGTTCTGCTAAACAAAATTAACTTTTGTACTTAGAACGACATAGTATTACCTATTTTTGCTAGTTAATATTTAATTTGTAATACTGAAATGTGATGCAGGATGTGGTTAAGGGTTAAGGTCAAAATCAAATGTTACAATGTTTTTTTTTATATATTATTATTATTATTATTATTATTATTATTATTATTATTATTATTATTATTATTATTATTATTATTATTATTATTATTATTATTATCATCAAAAAACTGGTTTTAAGAAGTGCCATAAAAAGTTACATATTAGTTTTATAATCCTGGAATTAAAAAGTCATACCTGAGTAAATTAAAATTTTGATTTACAATTTCGGAAGTAACTGAAAATGTAAATATAAGTTAAATATATAAAGAAATGTAAGAATGTAAATAAATTGAAACTGGTTTTATACTAAATCATTTCGTGAACTTGTGTTCTTAATTTAGCATGTGATATCACACGTTTTATTTTAAATGTCACGCGCACTTAATTATAGGCATTTTCAATTTTGTATGGAAGATACGGAACAAAGATATTTTTGAAGAAGCAGCATATTGGCCTTGATTGTGTTTTAAGATTCACGAAATGGTTCAAGCTTTGACCGGAGAATTCGCTCACCACGAGCAGGCACTATTAAAAAACAGAGACGTCGCGTCGTGACGTTGTTTTAATGCTATTGTCATTGAAAATAAATGTTACATTAATTACCTACAACTCGGTGTATTTCTGTAATCAATAATCAATTGTACCATAGCTTTGTAGATATATTTTCATCATATGTATCAAAATAATTTAAATCATGAGACTTAAGACCGTAGACAATGCCTGCCATTCTGTTAAAATATGTTGATATTTATTAGTGCTCTATTCACTACTAAAGATATTCAAGGCCTACTTGTATTATATTAGTTATTGTCTGTTTAGAATACAAAATTCCGATTTAATATCATATTTAGATGCAATTTAGATGCTAATGTATACATTTAATTAATTTCTTAGAGGTAAAATTACTCAAAAACGAGTGTCTTGACATATTTTTAAATTTTCCTTATTGAGAAAAAAAAGTGGGACGCCTCTGGTACTGATATAGCGATGGTAAAGTCTTCTTCATTTTTAACCTCTGCGTTTAATATAAATACCATAGTATCCCCGAAAAAATAATCATTATCGATCAGTCCTTTCAACAAAGCGATCAAAATGATGAAACTGGTGAGTTGTGATAAATAAATTAGTTAAGAGTACCAACATAATAAATATTGTGGAAAAGTGTGACCTCTAAGTGTTAACTCTCTACATTAGTAAAAGACGGGAATATTTCAATACGTATTTAGCTGAGTAATTCCCAGAAAACATTTCTTTGCTTCCAGATACTCCTTGCTGGTCTTGTAGCTGTTGCCTTGGGTGACGTTAGTCATTTGCTTCAGCGACCAATAGCAATTCTCCGATATACAAATGAAGTTTATCCTGGTGGAGTCTACGAATATGCGTACGTATAAAAGCTTATTTTAAGCAGGAATATTATAATTTTTATAGTATATTATTCCATCATATACCAAAATACTTAAGATTCGTGTTATCTCAGTTGAAACGGATGTCAACAACGGGATGAAAATGAATAAATAGTATAGGTATACAACTTTTTAATGATCTATATAAGGTGTCTTTCTTAATTTAAGAGTTACAGAAATAGTTAAATGGTCAAAAATGTACAGAATCTTATGACGATCACGGATTCGTTTTTAAATTTAGAAAATTCCAAATATTTCCGAAAATATTCGAAAAAAAAAAACGATTTTATGCCATTTCTTTTTTAGTCGTATTTCAGTTGTTTTTCAAAATTTTATGACAAAATGTGTAGTCTGATATTAAATGATGTGAGCAGTCGATTTTGTCGATGCTGTCAGTATTAACGTATCTCTAAAAATGTGTGTTGAGCGGTAGTTAACATTTGTTTTTCTTCCATATTGAATTTTTGCCTCATTAGAAGAAAGGGGAAATTCCCTTTACAACGATGTATAATTTATGAGATTTTTATAAATAAATAACCACGATATAGAATATAATTATAATTTTAATACTTTTTGACATAACAATAACAAGAGCAACGAACAACACAACATAGATAAAGCAATAAATGGTAAATTTAAATTTTATTATAAATTGTCGAAATGCATACCATTACTTGGTGGTTGAGCTTCTTGGCCGCCGAGAAGTCCTGATTTGACCATCATGAATTTTTTCTTTTATAGTTGTGTTAAGGATCAGATATATACAAGACAATACGACAATTATGAGGAAGAATTGAAACTAAATATTCAAAGATTAAGAGAGTTCAATACCTCCTGACATGATTCAGTCTGCTACTGAGAGCAATTATGAACGAGTGCAGAAGTGTGTAAATAGTAATGTAGTGTAGTAAATAGTAAAATTTAACATTTATTCCTTTATCTATATTGTTTTGTTCGTTGCTGTTATTAAATAAAGGTTGCTTTAATATCAGACTACACAGGTTTGTCATAAAATTTTGAAAAACAACGGACTAAAAAAAGAAATAGAAAAATCGGTTTCTTTCGAATCTATTAGGAATTTTCTAAATTTAAGAACGAATCCGTGATCGCCATAAAATTCTGTACATTTTTCCCCATATAACCATTTCTGTAACTCTTAAAATTAGAAAGGTATAAGACAATAAAGAAGTTGTAAACCTGTCTAATTTCGACAACATAAGTTTAGAAAAGAATATATAGGTACGCTCCTCCGGAAAAGTTTAAATACCGATTTCGAATTTCTATCTAAGTTAAAAATGAATTTGACTTCTGATTTTTGGATATTGCTATGTTTAGAGATATTAAACTGTGTAAGTAAACAGTGTAACAAACAAACGATTTAATATAATAAAATTAATGTAATCGAATAATTTTAGATACGACACTGAAAATGGAATCTCAGCCCAAGAAAATGGCCAACCTAGTAACTCAGGACCCAGCGCCGGAACTGCTGCTCAGGGTTCCTTCCAATATACTTCCCCTGAAGGTGTACCTGTACAAATTCAATATCGTGCCGATGAAAACGGATTCCAACCTATTGGTAACGTGTTACCAACCTCACCACCAATCCCTGAGGCAATACTTAGATCTCTTGATTACAATGCACGTGCGAACAAGAGGTACTAATAATGTATATAATAATTAATAAAACTATATTTTCATAACATATATGTGTTTTTTTCTTAATAATTCTTTAAACAATATCTAATTGTAAGTAATAAATATCGCGTATTATGAACTTTCATGCAAGAGTGAAGATTTTGTTCAAATCATTGTCGTAATTAAAGTAATTGTGGATGCGATGACGTGTTAAATATACGTTTCTGAAGACTTTCAACGAGCCCAGTGGATTTTTACAGTATGGTGGAATAAATATTCGGTGAAAGTGTTTTCCTTGATTCTTATGTACTGTGGTCTGAAATTTTTTTTATATAATCATGGTTGTATTGCGAGGGAATATTGACAGGTAACTCTAAAAATGCTCAGAAAAGCATCTTTACGTCGATAAACTGACTGGGCGAAGAGGACCAAGTAGCCAGAATTTCTTCGGATTCGTCTTCACTAGACTTCATTTTATATCTACAGTGACAATCAATAGAAGATTTGTAACAAAGTATTTTTAATAATGCATAATTTCATAAATGTTACAGAATGCGTTCAATATTTATTTCATGAGAAATTGGTTCATATATTAAACTGCAACTACATGCTACCAAAATCTTCATACTAGAGCTGAAACTTTAAGACAAATATTACACAACTTAATTGTAGAATTTCAAAAATTAAATATAGGCATTTAGAACAATTAAAAAGTCTTGATGCCATTTTAAATTTTTGACAGAGTGATCTAGGAGGTTAAAGTTGAAGATGTCAAATTTATATCTATTAGATGATTAATCGATATTTACGTTCTATTTTTTTAGGGTGATCACAACTATTAAAAGGTTGAAAAATCTTATTATACTGTCATTAACAGTTGACCTTAATATGACATTTATTAAGTGTCAAAACAACAGATTTTTGTCTACAAAACGCAAACAGATTTTTACAACCAGAATGTAAGTGTTTTACATTCACCTACAAAAAATAGTGAAGTTATAGGTCATAGAATCAGTTCACAAGTTTATTTATTATTATTATTAACGAAATAATAAATATAACAATCATTAATAACAGAGCTCCACAAAAAAAGTTTTGTGCAAATGACTAGAATACTTTATTCCAATGTATTTTGAACCTCCGAATTCGAATCCGGATGTCAGAATTGTCAACAGCAAGTCAACAGAATTTTCTAATATCAAAAAATGCTTAAAAAACCCACAAAATCGACAAATCAGCATTTACAATTATTCAAGGATTGATGATTTATCGGCGGCTGAAACTACTGGTCAAATCTTTATATTCATATACAGTACGCGCCTAAAGTATGGAATAAATTCAGTAAAAACGAAACAAATTTTTTTGGGAAAAATCCTCGAACAGGTCGATTTTTAATTTAAAAAATACATATTTTAGCATAAAAGGCGATTATCAACCGTCATTTGTTTTCGAGTAATGACGTCATAGACATTTTTTTTAAATAGCAACCCCCTATTTTTTTTCTTGATTCTGAAAGATCGTTTCATTGTCGATCCGACTGTATTGAAATGTTGCCATCTTACATAGGAAAGTTTTCGAGTAAATGACGATTGAATGTTAGAAAACCCAAATCAATTACATATAATAAAGCAAAAACGTTTTCAAATTTAGTTTTTCGAAATGCCTGAAGTTTTTTATGGATCACGTAGGTGTAAATCTTTACAAAGTGTTGTAAGCGATATAAAAATTATTGTTGAATTTAAATTATTATGGCACATTTAACTGTCACACAAAGAATTGAAATTTTAATTCTTATCGGATGCGCGGATAAGACTAGAACGCACCAGGAAGTTTGCGATTTATTTAATGAAAAACATCCAGATCGCCGTATCAGCCAGTCAACAGTCAGTAAGATAGAATCTATATTTAGAGAAACTGGCAATGTTGTAGATATTCCAAAACCTTGACCTCCAAGCGTTAGTGAAGATCACAAACAGAACATTTTGATAAGTATGGTAGATAATCCTCATAACACTTCACGATTGGTTGCATTAAACAATGAAATTAGTCAGACTACACTGCTACGTATCCTGAGGCAGGAAAAATGTCATATCTACAAAATTCAACTTGTGCAGGAACTCAATGAAGACGATCCCGACCGCCGTTTACACTTTTGTGAAATTATGATGGATTTATGTCAAGTAAATAGAGATTTAGGTACACCGGCAAATACTTTTTTCAGACGAGGCCACGTTTTGTCTCAATGGTACAGTGAATCGTCAAACTTGCAGGTATTGTAATCGGGAAAATTCTCATTGGATGACAGAGACATATACCCAACACCCACAGAAATTAAATGTGTGGGCTGGAATAGTTGACAACAGAATAGTACGGCCTTTCTTTGAAGGAACCCTTACAGGAGAAAGATATTTAGAGTTTTTACAAAATGACCTTGTTCCAGCGCTTGCAGTAATGTTTCCTAACGATAATGACCCTGATATTCCCGATGACACCATATGGTTTCAGCAAGACAGTGCACCTCCGCATTATGCGCGCCCTGTTCGAGATTTTCTGAACAATTGTTTTCCTAGGAGGTGGATCGGCAGACGAGGACCGATGGAATGTGTCGCGAGATCCCCAGATCTTACACCCCCGGACTATTTCTTATGGGGCTATTTAAAGTCCAAAGTGTACGTTAATAGACCACATAATTTAGAAGAACTCCAAAATTGTATTATAGATTAAACACACAGAGTTACCCCAGAAATAATTCATAATGTGCAAGAAGAATTTCTACACAGACTTGCGTATTGTCAAGAAGTCGGTGGGTGGCAATTCGAACACTTAATTTAGGTAGAAAACTTAATGAATTGTATTTGCTTGACATAGGAATTGTTATTTTTTTAATGAATAAAATTTACGTTTTCTAACATTCAATCGTCATTTACTCGAAAACTTTCCTATGTAAGATGGCAACATTTTAATACTGTCGGATCGACAATGAAACGATATTTCAGAATCAAGAAATAAAATAGGGGGTTGCTATTTAAAAAAAATGTCGATGACGTCATTACTCGAAAACAAATGACGGTTGAAAATCGCCTTTTATGCTAAACAAATTTTTTCGTTTTTACTTAATTTATTCCATACTTTAGGCGCGTACTGTATAATCCTATATGCTGAACACGAATCCGAAGTCAGGTTTGGTCCATAAGGTCACAAATCCTTCATAACCCTAAAAAAGCTTAAAAATCCACACTATTATTAATAAATTACCTTCTATGATCCAGGTATGATTTAAAAGCAACTAAAAATCGTGGTCTGATCTATTCTGGTAATTTGCTGAGACAATTTTGACATAAGATTGCGGCTCAAAATACATGTATTCTGATCATTTGCACAAGGCTTTTTTTATTGTAGAGCTGTGTAATCAATTTAATTGACGATCAATTATAATCATTTAAATATAACGTTTAAATTTAAAGTCGTAATTGTACAATTATTGTGAAAACTGACTCCATTCGAGGATGGTAAGTCGCTAACTGCAATAGTTTCTTGATTAAGGCATTAGGCACTGAGCAGTGATTGAAGAAACACCAGATTTGGGAGCAAATAAGATACTATTAGAAAATTCATTTTTTTTCTCAATTTATTCCTCATTATCCTTTTGCAACTGCAACCTTTAAGACTGTTGAAATCAACTACAGAATCAACTAGCAGTGTAGCAGATGATTTTCGGAAGCAATAGTCAGTGTAGCTATTTGTTTCTGATAATTTTAAGTATGTTGTAATTTATTTTGACGTATATCTGATGTTAATGATGCCAATAACCCGATCTACATATTTTCCATTGACATCAAATAAAAAGTCTACGATTTGAGTGTCAGTTTTTAAATCTTAGATTTTTACAATAATAATTCCTAAATATCATCTATTGTTAAATTCAATAGTTCGTTTCTTTTACGTGCCCCTTATATGCCAAATATTAAAATAATCTGAAATAATATCACTATCAACAGATCTTGTAATAATTTCTCAATATTAGCTTTTGTTAAAACTTTTACCTGTTTTAGACGATATCCTACATAGTTATTTTAAATATTTTTCTATATCTATTTTTTCGTTTAGTGTTCCCTTCAGTATTGAATTTAAGGACTATAACGTTGTCGGCTGCACTCCCTTATATTAAAAACATGCCAATATCAGAGGAACATTTTTTATTTTCTTAGAATTATACTACTCCAAAATAGTGATGCTAGATTGCGAAGTTTTATTGCTAGCGCTCAGCGTTGCGCTATGAAAATAACATCACGCTGTTGTACTATCTAGCACTTTCCGTGCACCTACCCCCCTACACTATAGCGAGCGCGCATGATAGAAAAATTTTAATATTACGTAAAATACTGTTAAATAAAATTTGAAATAAAAACAATCGTAGAAAAAATGTTGCGTGCAACATGTGCAAAAAGCATATTTGTTGCACTTAACATGATTGCAGCTCTCAACTTCGTCTCGAGCTGCAAACTTCATGCATCGTTCAACAAATACACACTCTTTACAGTAGTTGCACAAATAACTGTTTGAATGTCGCAGAAACTTTTATTAAATAGAAGTACAATGAAAACGAAACTAAGAAATAATTTATTATCAAAAAGAGAAAAAACAAAAAACTTAGTTAAAGAACATTTTCAAAATAATTGCCATTTCTTTCTAAACACAACCTAACACGTTTATTAAAGTTGTTACGGACTCGTGCAAAAATTATGGGATTGTTGCGAATCTCATCAGCCGCCGCGAATATTCTTTCCTGTAGCTCTTCAACACTGTCAACTGGGGTCGCATAAACAATACTTTTTATATGTCCCCAAAAGAAAAAATCAATGGGCGTTAGATCGGGAGAACGTGCAGGCCAAGAGATAGGTGCCTCATTGCCGCGACCTATCCAACGATTCGGGTAATTTAAATTAAGCCATTAAACTACTACAGTGCTGTGAGCAGGAGCCCCGTTATGCATGTACCACATGGCCTGACGTACATTTAATGGTACTTCCTCCAGAAGTGGTAGTGGATGCTCATTTAAGAACTGCAAA